CTCAAAGCCACACTACAAATAAAGCCGTATTTGCAGTCCCCAGGATAGACAGACCTAAAGATCTGTCCACACACCATGAGGGTAAATTGTGTTACTGGCTGCCATAGGAGCAGAGTAAATAGATCCCAATTGTCTTCGGCTTTACGTAGAAGACTGACAGCTCCTTACGCACGGGTAGCAATTTTCCCTAATTGGGTGTCAAGTCGACCCAGTGGCTGAAAATTTGCTGCTTCCCAAACCTCTTGTCCCGACACAGAGCTCCCAGGATTCCAACGTTTAATTTAGCAGATATTTAGGCCTGAAATCTGAGCCATGGAAAACCACTATTTCAACAACTTTTATTCAATTTCCTTTGCAATGCTTTCTATTATGCACTGAACCGTTATTGTATGGAAACCAGGACAGCTCTGGTTTGTCCTAAAGTAGCAAGACTGTAGGCCAAGCCAGAAACCAGCTAATCTAGAAAATATGGAGTTGGGAATGAAGAGGAAAAGCACTCGGAGTGGCAGCATTGGGATTGTCCTTCCCAGAGACTTTTATCACCTCTCAGCTATTTGTGTGAAGCTGCAAATTTCAAATATTAATGGAGTTTGTTTTTGTTTTTCAGGCCCAACTGGAAGGCATTATTGCACCAAAGAAGTGATAATTTCCATATGGGTCTCACAAGCACGAGTACCCCATCATAAGCCCTTTGTAATAAAAAGCTAGTTTCCTGAGTGAACAAGCCATATCCTCCCCGATCACCACCTACGTATTTGTCAGAAGTCACACTATTGCTCCAGTGTCATGAAACACCTGTGTGGTGGCTAGGCTCCCACTTGGACAGTGGAAGGTGTTGTAGCCCAGATGGTCTCAGATGCAGCCAGCCTTGGGTTTTGCCAACTCAAGTAGTAAGATTTAGAATTCGCCCCTTTCCGCTCTATCCCTCTCGGGTGATGCAATTGCTTTCTCATCACTTAGTACCAGCACTTATTTCTGGCCAAACGAAGCTGCTTCTCTGTCCCATTTCTGGTCCACAATTCATCTTGTACTTTCACTTGGGCTTCTCTGGCCTCTTCCCGTTATTTGATGTCTTTTCATCATCCCTGACCCAATGCAGTTCTAGTAACTCATTTTGGAGTTTGGAGTTTATACTGTATCATCTGACCCCTTCTTCCTGTTTCAGACTGCCTAGGTGAGGAGTCAATGGCAGTGTCAAACCCGTAGCTTATGAGAAAGTAAATGTTTGCTGGAAAGAACAAGTCGCAATGTCCTCTGTTAGCTGCTTGCACTTTAGCTTTTCCCCCAACACTGATTTGTTCACTTTATTCTGCAGATAATCAAACCCTGGCCCTACATCCCTCTAACTAGCTGTTTAATTAACAACGGGAGAGGTGCCCAAACCTCGCATGCAGTTCTAATTAGTCATGACTGGGCTATGGCCTGCAGACAACTACATTTTACTATTCCTCTTAAGTTAAACTCACGTTTGAAGGCTCAGGACTCTTGTGGTTTCGTAGGCCCAGAAGACTAAGTGAGCGACATTGACCTGTAATTCAGGGCGGACCAGGGTGGGCTAGGGCAGCNAGGCTCTTTGCACATGTTGTTTTCTCTGCCTGGATCTTCACAAGGCTGGATTATGGATTAGTCTTACTCAGGTCTCAGCTCAAATGGCACCAATCTCTATCACATTACTGTTTTAATCTATCCCTAATACTTGTTACTAACTAAAACTATTTTCTTTATTTGCTATTATTTTGTCTCAGGGCGAGAACATGTTAATTTTGAGAAGGTAATGACCATCTTGTTCACCCTTAAGACCCCAGTACTAGGGCATTGTTCAGCACATAACAGGTAATCAGTAAAACTATGCTGAATGAATGAATAAATGAAGGAGTCTAGCAAGAGACATTTTTTTTCCCCAGAAGTTCTATCAGGCAGATCATCTAGGCCCTCGATATGGAAATCTTTGGGGACAGGTTAAGTGGGAAGACAACGCCCGCACTCCATTTGCAGGCAGGTGGGGAAAACCTTTCATTTCAACTTAAATGATCCGCTGGGTCATACTCGGCGAAGTGCTGAGCACACCGAGATGGAGGGGCAGGACCCTGTCCATCAGGTGCTTAACGCCCACTTACAACACAGGTGACAGGTAAACAATAGCACAAGCCCCGCCGGATCACTTCCATCCCTTAGGATTAATTCCAAGCAGCTGCGCTCAGCATTCAAGGTGTGTTTCTGACGCTAGCTCGGTCCCCCTCTCGGAATGAGCCCGACCGAAGGTCCACGCCAGGCTGCTTCCCACTTACCGACTACGTCCTCGGGCTCGGTTTCCGCGGTGACCAGGGCGTCCCGGCTCGCCGGCCGGTGGGGACGCACTACCGCCCGAGGAGTCCGGGCGGCGGTGGACAGGAGGAGCGGCCTCCGGGCTGAGGCGCTCCTGCTTCACCACCACCGCCGCCGTCGCCGCCACTATGTCCTCGACCCGGTGCTTTCGCCGGTTCCCCCGCTCCCGCTCGCTCTTCACCTCCTTCATGCTGAGATAGCCGAGGAGCGTAGGAAACACAACGTCCGTTGCACTTCTCTAGCTGAAGGAAATGACGGCCCAGACCCTGGACTTCCGCTTCTGCGGTGTACGCTCTCCCAGAAACCCTCGCGATGGAGAAGCCAAACACGTGACAACGACACTCTTGTGGGCGGGGCTGTAGTGAGGCGACTCTGGGTGGCGGGAGTTTTAAGTTTCCAAAGCCAACTTCTGGGAAAAAGGTACTCTCGAGGCTGCTTGTTGTCGCATCATTAGTAATTCTAAACACGGAGACCACCTAAATGCCCATCAGTAGGGAGTTGTTTAGCCAACTGATGGATGTTATATCGCCATTCACAATGCTATTTACAAACTTTATACGACAAAAGGGAAAAACCCTGACTTGTTATACGACAGAAGCAGGATACAAAATTGTGCACAAACTGTGCTTACATTTACGTTTGAAAATACGAAGGAAATGAAATCATACATGATAGCCCGTGGGCAAATCATTAGTATTTTCCCCCCTCTATTTTTGAACTTTCTGTCATGTTGTCATTTCTCCATTTAATTAAAAACAAATACCTTTTAAAACCTGAGAACTACAGATGTCTTCTGGGACTCTTCTCCAATCCTTCACTGAGGAGTCAGATGACTCCCACTTTGCAGGTAAGAAAATCGGGGATCAGCAAAGGAGATCTGCCACTTCATTCAGACTGAGAGCTAGACGCGGCGCAGGAACTGAAACCCCTGTTTTACCTTCTCCCAAGAGTATTGGAGCGACTCGGTGAGTGGGAGGCCTGACAAGCTAACCATCGAACTTTTTTTTTCGTAAAAGCCACGCAGAACGAAACTGGAGCTCTGCTGGCCCCGCCCAACTTTGAAGCCCCGCCCAGGCCATTAGGCTAGGAGAGGTTTCCATGGTGACGGTAAACAAGGCCCTGCCTGGAGGGGCCGAGGCTGGGCTACTTACTACTCCAGCTGCCGCCATGATTCCCCCCGCCGACTCTCTGCTCAAGTATGACACCCCGGTGCTGGTGAGCCGGAATACGGAGAAACGGAGCCCCAAAGTAAGGACGAGAGTCTCAGGGGGCGAGGGAGCCCGGTAGCTCTGATGGGGAAATGACAGGTCCCACCCTAGAAGATCGGGAGTCCCCAGGGACAGAGGCTGAAACGACTAGGAGTAAAGGGAACTGGGGCGGGGGAAGGAGGGTGGGAGAGAGGTACAAGAAGCCCAGATGCTGGGCGATTCCACAGGGCAGATTTAGAATGGGGAAGGAAGTCACAGGGAGGTGAATGGGGTTCACTCTTTTTCNTTGTCTGTTCCCCTTCCCCAATTCCCCAGCGCTGTTCCCATCCCCCCAATTCCCCAATTAAAAAATAAATAAATAAATATCTGCATGGATAATGATGTCACAAGCGATAATTTGGAGTTTAAGCTTGGATTTCCCAGAGATGCAAATCACATCTAAATGACTGACATAATTTAACTCTACCTGCATCTTCCACATCCTCCTCAGTTGTTGTTCTTTGCTCTTCAGGTTTTGCAAAAACCTTTTCGCTCAGTCCCTTGGATATCCTGAAACAGGAAAGCAAAGTAATGAAACTGTCCCACATTGGCTTCCACTGCCCAAGTCACGTGCTGTCTTGAGACAACCTCGCAGATTGAAGACACCCTGCTCCTCTTCACACCGTTACCAACGTTGGTAGAAGGCAACACCCAACAGGTGTGCAGCTCCCTGGGCATTTCTAAAAGACAACGATGAAACTCCTCCTATTTCAGGGAGCCGGATTTTTTTTTTTTTTAATTTAACAGATCACTTTTTAGAAACGTGGGCAATTCCCCTACCTGTCCCCGCCACAGAACCACCACTCCAATTCTCACGGCAAGTTTCTAGGAAAAGGAAGGAGCAAACTGCAATTTGTGAGAAGATGAAGACAATACCTGACCGCTGAGAACTTTTTCGCTTTGGCTTTGTCTAAAAACTTCTGGTATTTAGCGATCTTTTCATCCAGGGCTTTAATAACTGCCTTGGTGTCGTTTTCCACGTGTTCTTCCTGGGACTCAGGGTAAGGCTCTTCCTCATCGTCTTCTCCTTGTGGCTGCTGTTCCTCCTCCTCCTCCTCCTCCTCCTCCTCTGCACAAGAGCTCTCAAGCTCCTCCTCGATATCTGACATCTCCAAAGGAACCAGGTCATCCCCAGAGAACTGAGGCACCACATTGATTTTGCCAAAGTTCTGCCGAACCCGCGCGAGAATCTGTTGCATCTCTGAGTTGGTGTCACTGTGACTGTTCTCTCCTTTTTCCTTCTCGATGACAAATTCTGACTCTTCACCTCCAGTTTCTGTGACTTCCTCCTCTGCGTTGTTCTGGGTTATTTCTGTGGCAGCTTCCACAGGTGATGAGGACGGAAGCTATTCAGGCCAGAAAGGGGTGAGGGGTGGGGACGGGACGAGAAATGGAATCAAGATAAAAACTGAATCTCTGAACTTACACCGTGCTCTCAAATGAGGCTACCCTCTTCTCAGGACTAAGGGAGAATACTGAAAACACCCAAATTTGAGTCACATCCTAATCAGTTATAAGCCAATGTGCAATAAACCCAGAATCCAGTGTTACAGGATCAAAGGAATATAGCTGCAGTTCCAAAGGATGCACCAACTATTAAGTTTATTTAATCATTACAACCAATCGACCATTTACTGTTAGACAGGTAAAGATTCCCTACACCTTCCCTGAGGATTGTAAGGAAAGGGGGTTGTTGAGATAAATACATTCAAAATTCACACACACCACGAGAATGAAAGCCAAGCTGAATGGTAAGGATGAAAGCAGCACTAGTGTCGAGTATNTAGTTTACGGCATCACACGGTAGCTGCAGCCTATGCCATCGCCAGCGACTCATGGCATCCCAGCTCCAGGTTGAGCTGTTGTTCGCCATCTTAGCTGTAGAGGGCACAGTGTCACTGGCCCTCATGTGGGATCTGAACCGGAGCCCTGCTGCACAGAGCTGGCATCCCAAGCCAGCTCTTAACCAACACACAACTCGACCGGCCCTGCCAGAGACTCTTAATGGCTCTCCATCTCACTCAGACTAAAATCCAAAGTCCTTACAGTGATCTGGAAGACCTGGCATGATCCGGCCCCTGATATATACCCGTGATCTTATCTCCTTTTATTCTCTTTCTGTTCACTGTGCTAATGCCACTGCGGCCTGTGCTTTCTGTTTCTGAAACACTTCACTCTTCCACCTCAGGGCCTTGACAACTGCTGTTCTTACTGCCACAGATGCTCTCCACATGATATTCGCCTGGTTCCCTCCTTTCTTCACTCAGGTCTTGCTCAAATGCCATTTCCTCATGGAGGCCTTCCTTGAGAATTCTTATAAAAGAGCACCTCCTCCCTGCTGCTTTCTTCTGTAGCCACTTTTATCACCATCTACTATTTTTATGTATAAGTTGACAGCACTTTTTTTTAAGTCTATGATGAAAAGAGACGGCAACCTCCTCAGAGATGGAAGTCAAAGAAGAAGGGGGGTGATGTGTCAGTAGACTCCCTCCCACCAAGGCATGGGAGTCCTCTCCCCCATGGTGGTTCCCCTTGGGCTCCCTCCTCATGACTCCAGAACCGGGCCATGCCTCTTGACACAAGGTTTACTATAGGGGGGTTACATGCCTTCAAGAATTTCTCCATTCCCCAATCCACACATTCGCCTCTTTCTGACGGTACAAGGTTTATGGTGCCCTGTGTCTCCCACCCCACAAGTCAGATGGAAATTCCCCCTGGTTCAGATCAAGCAGCAACCACAAATTTGTCCTCTACACATTAGGAGGGTGAGATCTGGAACATGGCTAATGATTTCACAGAGCGCCATGGGAGAGTGGAGATTGCCCAGCCCCAAGGTAGGGGGCCTGTGGAGGCAGCTTAGTGGACATGGCTTTGGAGCCACACACTCCCCAAAGAAGAAAGCGGGACAGAGGATTCTGGTGGGTTGGCGACAGAGCTGCCCCTCACTCCTGCTCAGGCAGAGAGCTCAAAGGGCCATCTCATTCATGTCCTGAGGACCCTCTCTGGTCAATGGGTTTCGCTCAGCCTGGCTGTGTCTGTGCCACAGGGAGTGGGTGGAAGACACGCAGCTATGGATCCAGCAGGTGTCCAGCACCCCCAGCACCAGGATGGATGTGGTACACCTCCAGGAGCAGCTGGACCTGAAGCTGCAACAGCGGCAGGCCAGGGAGACTGGCATATGCCCGGTCCGCAGGGAGCTCTACTCGCAGTGTTTTGGTGAGTGGCCTGGGATGCGGGGGAGAGTACACTACACTCTCCTGACTCCTTCCCTTCCCTCCTCCTCCAGCACAGCCCCAGGCCCTGAGGATCCCCGAGCTGAAGCCCATCCCATCCTACAAAGCAAGGATGAAAATCCATCTTTCTACCTGCCCCACCTAGGAACTGCTAAATGCACCCCCTTCCCCCTTCCAGCCCCGCCTCTCCTATCAGTCAACCTGGTTCCTCACCTCTTAAGCAAATGTTTGGAGTAAATGAGAACTTCCATTTTAAGTCTTTGTTTTTTCAAAGATTTCTATAATAAGTATGTGTTAATTTTTCACTAGAACATTGTATGTTCTCTATGTATATCCATCCATCAACATTCGGCCCTTGGTCCAGAAAAATATTTCAGGGTAATTTGTGTTGTTAACTAACAGATGCAGGGATTTAAGATCTCCCTCCCCAAGTGCTGGTGTGACATGACTGTCCCCCAGCCCAGTCTCACTGGCCCATGTGGACTCTGACATGCAAATGGCCTCCTAACCCTGAGGCAGCTGCGGGGGCTAGCAGGCTCCCTGTGACCTGAGTCAAGTTATGGTTTGCTCTCCAGGTCAGCATTCATGGAGGAGGAGATGGGTGGACAAGCTCTAGACTGTGTTATTTCCAGCCCCAAACCAGTCCAGCCAGGGAAGCACATAGGATTTTTCGGCTGCCTTAAAGCAGCTACTATCTTCAAATTGAAAAGTCAGGTTTCTAAGAATAGTATGCCGATCTTGGCTGAGGATGGAAGACAGGAGCCTCATGGCTGCAAACAAACCTGGACTCCTTCTCCCTC